GCAGACACGCGCAGGCTCCCCCACGTCACTCGTGGCCGGCCGGGCGCGCGCGGCGGCTGCGTGGCGGGAAGCGGGCTTCCTCCTTCCGAGGCCTATTATCTGTGCATCGGCGGGCTCGACAGCAGCGGGTCACCCTCTCTCCCTCGACCGGGGCCCCGGGGCCGAGGGCAGCTGGTCATTGTTCGAGCACAAAGGGCCTGGCGCGGTGGTGGTCGCCCCTCCCCCTCTGCTTCTCGACTCCCAGCTTCCCTCCCAAGACACATACTCCAGCATCTGAGTCCAGAAGGGGAAGCCTAGGGTCAGCTGCCCCCCATACCCCATCTACTGGGGTCTCGGGCCCCAGTACACGTCTGGGGGCGAGGCTCGGGTGGTGCCTGCCCCACCCCCAGCCGCTCGAGGGCGGCACACTTGGATTTGCGGAGACGGCGCCACCTGGTGGCCTGTTGGAGAACACACCGAAGTCCGTCCTCATTGGGAGTCCCTACCCCACTGCTCAGCCCTGTATCCTCTCCAGGCTGGCCGAGCCTAGGTCTGTTTGGGACATGGCTCTGAACTCTTTTAACATTCTTTCAGAACTATTTGCCAAGACGCTTGGGGAGTGGTGGATCCTGGCCACTCAGCTACATCACTGGGGTGAACAGGTCCAAACCTACAGAGCAAACCTACACGGGCCTTAAAGCAAACAACGTTCTACTGTCTTTCCCAGGGTCACAAAAGTTCTCAGCCTCTCGCGAACAAACATAGTCTTTTTAACACCCACATGGTCTTTCCCACATACAATCTCACAGCACCACAATCAAAGTCTCATCCATCACACCGTCCCACGTTCCTTCTCACAATCAGGCCAACTCACATACACAGGCAGATTGCGTCACACGCCTTGTTTTACAGTCTTCCACACTGTCTTAAATACCCGGAATATCCTAACCTCCTTTCACACACTGACAGTCTTCTTATCCACATACTCACAATTTCTTACACACACACACACACACACACACACACACACACAGAGTATGTTTCACAAATATCCTTCCATGCAGATTTCCCCTGAGGGGGTCTCTATGACCTGGTCAAGAGGTGCCCTGGGCAAGGACAGCATCCCTGCCCCCCAGGGCCAAGGCCAGTCAGAGCTTGGCTCCGCCCTAGGAAGGAGCATACCCCCCCTTCCAGGCCACAGCCCTGGCCGGCTCTCAGCTCTATTTTTAGCTCTATGGAAAGGGTTGTTTTTCTTTTACCCTGGAAAGGGAAACACAGCCTAGCCACCCTTGGGTTTATCCCAGACCCTCAGCCTCACAAGAACAGCCCAAGACCTTCGCCCCTGAAAAGAACCCCCTCCTCTGGCCTTGTCCTGATCCTAGCCTCCAGGGACACTCAAAGCCTCCTCCCCTTCCCGGCAGCCTGCCCAGAGGCTCAGGCAGCAGCTGGGCTCAGCGTGTTTGTAGAGGGGTGAAGAGGGGGTGGGGAAGGAGGCGAAGGGCCACTAGCTACCATCCTGTACGGAGGGTTTGTTCTTTTTAATAGAGAGGGGTAAGCCTATTCGGTATGGAGAGGTACTTACTCTCATACATTCCCTTGGGAGGGGGCTCCCAAGGGGGCTCCCACCCTTACATGGGTGGCTTCCTGCTTCTGCACTATGGGGGAGGAATGCCCAGTCCTGCCAAGGGTACAGGGTGGTAGGAAGGGGAGGATATGGGCAGGCAGCTGCTGCCTGGGCTGGTAGTACCGGATGGTTGGAAGCAGCTGCCCATTGACACAGAAAGTCTTCTCATATCTTCAGGGATAAGGGACACCACAAAAGTGGAAAAGGCAAGAAAAAGAGGAAAGGCAAGAGCCCAGGTAACCCCAGCCCAGCCCAATAGTTTCCTATCCTGCGCCACCTTGGCTCCAGGGGGCGTGCTCCTATTTCTGATGGAGGGTTTATCACCGCGCGAGGCACAAGGCGTAGAATGGAACCCAGCGTCGTGAAACGTGTAAAATCACTCTGGCCTGGCGGGGGGCGGGGGCGGCATGTGGCAGGAGTTAGGGGTGAGGGTGGAGGTGGAGCCCTGCCACTAGAGTACAGTCGGATCACGTGCTGGGCGCCTGTTTACATTTTGGTCTTCACCTGAGGGTGGCGGCGGGGAAGCAGGAATCTCCGGATGCGTCCCACCCGGCCCGCCCCCGTCGGCGGTCACAGAGCTGCCCCTTTCCCCCACCGTCGCGACAAGCACGCGACAACAGAATGTCCTGCTCACTGAGGTTCCACTCGCACTGTCCCTCAGGCTGCAAGGATAACCCACTGGGCGCCTCTTTTCCTGAACGCACGTGTGTTAATGTGTCCCAAGTGCATGCGTGGGTCTGGAGGGACGCGTGGGGCCCATGTGAGCGAGTTTTCCTATCCGTTCCCTGTGCATACTTTTCTGCCTGCTCTCTATGGACTGAGGACCCCTCCTCATCCTAACATCCAGCTTCCCGGGATGCGGAAAGTTCGTTCCAGAGCCAGGATGTGCTGGAGGCGGAGTTTCTACACCTCCACGGCCCCACCACTCACCCAGCGCGCCCTGCACCGCCGTTCCAGCTCCGTCACCTCCGCGCCGCAGTTATGCCCGCTCCCCCGGCTGCAGCCGGCTCCCGGCTCGGCTCCCGGCGCCCGCCTGGTCCCAGTTGGAGAGGCGGGGCGGAGCGCAGCGCTGAGGCCGCGCCCCCCCACCCGTGGAGGGGAGTGGTCTGCCCTGCACCCCCTCAAAAACCAGCCCAGCACCTTGCCCAGCAGAATCTGAACGGTCGCCCAAGGCTGTCCCCTCCTGTGACCTCTGACTTTACCAGCTTCCTGAACTTGGCTTTCAACCTAGGTAAGGGGCTGTTGGCTGCATCAAGTAAGCGGCTTTAGGACTTGATTTGGCCACCTTCCCTCGCTCATTCCCTAGAGAACCCAGCCCGATCCACACCCGGCCCATTCCCCAAACAGGGAAAATCCCTAGGAAACAGACAAAGGCACGGGATCCACCAAAACAGCCCTCCCCAACTTCGCCTTGGGATTGTCAGAGCAGAACCAGCACCACCCTGTCCCTGGAGTAGGTGTCTGCTCAGGTGAGGAGGCCTGCCAGTTCTGGCCCCCACAGGGCATGGCCAGGTTTCCCTTAGACCCATAAAGTCCCACCCACAGGCACAAACAGGAAGTCGTCCTGTATTGCAGGGAGGCACCAAGGACTCCCTCCCTCCATGGCACCCAATGCAGCCTGTGCCTGCAGGTAGCTGGGCTGTACTTGCAGCCTGAGTACTTGGGCTGTAAGGAAAGGCTAAAATGCTGCCCCCTCACCCTGGAGACCCTGCCTCTCATCAAGTGTGACGCAGTGTCATCCTGAGAACAGTTGCAAATCCAACTGAACCTTGCTTGGCCAGGCTCTCTGAACTCCCAGGGGGGATTGGCAGAGGGTCCTTATGAACACCTGCCCCCAATTTTCTAGGTTCCAGGGACTTCTGTACATACTTGGGGCCTACTTCTTGATATGTGCAGTTTTAAGCAGGTATGGAATGGAATGTGTTTGGGTAGGGGGTGGGGCTGAGGGTAGGTAGCTTCCCTCCCCCTCACCATTCTGGTTTGTACTGTGTGGGGGTGTCTGCTAGAAGCGTAAGACAGTCAAGTATACATCTAGACCTGTATCTCTAAATCCCAGAGGTCCTCTCCTGGGAAGCTCTAAGGATTGCTCGATATGTTCATATCTGGCTTCTAGAAGACCAGAGCACAGAGGCTGCATCCTTATAGGGAAAACTGACCTGGTGCTGTGTATCTGGAAGGCATGGCTGCCATCCAGTGTTAGACCCTGGATGAGGCTGAGACCAGCCAGCGGCTGGGAATGATTACCGCAGGATTAGGGAGGCCTGGCTCCAGCCAGTCTGGGAGAGAGACCCCCAAGAAAGGAGGCCCGGGAGGAGCTACCCCCCAGGTTCTCTCCTACAGAGAACAGCTTTGCAGCAGCTTTGCTTCAGGATCTTCCCAGGAGACATGTGTGGCCACTGCCACATTCTGCAGAGACCACAGACCCTCCCCTGGGCTTCCAGAAGCACCCCACCCCAAGATGAGAGGGAAATCTTGACAAGACAGCCCTCTGCTTTCTGGGAGCAGAAAAACTTTCACATCTGACAAGAGGTCTCCCTTCAATACCCTAAGAACTTCTTGTATTCCCACTACTCTTTCAAAAAATACACAGGAAATTAGTAATTTAGGGAGAGGGGCAGCAAGATGGAACACTTGTTAGGGTTACTTCTGACAGGGTATTGAGATCACCTATCCACAGCTCCTGCAGGGCTTGTTAAAAACCAAGTATTCCTATATTTATCCAAACTCGGAATTAGAATCATATGTGGCAGGATGGGGGTGGGAAGCTGAGCCTATGCCTACATTTTCAACAAGATCCCCAGGAGTTATGGCGCGCACTAGCACAAGACAAACACAAAAGAGTAGGAGAAAAAAAATGGGTGAATATGGCCACATGGAGGGAGGCCAATGACTTGGTCACATCAGAAGGACAGCTGGTCAGGCAAGGCCTGGGCGTGTGGCCCAGTGACCCATACCTCTGCCAAGAATCACATGGGGCTCCTCAGGAAGTTGGGGATAAGGACACACTACCTGTTTCTTCTAGATTGAGAAGTGGTGGTGCCGGGAGGTGAAAGCCCTTCAATGCTCCTGCTTCCTAGGGAACCCACAGCTCAAATGCTGGAAGTAATGAAGGGACCCAGCCACCCACAAAACAGAGCGGGTGTTTGGGTACAGACTGGGGACACCTAGTGGACAAATAGGAGAAAAGCACAGAAACAAAGGCAGTACATAATTCCCCACCCCCGCCCCCAAGTAAAACTAGAAAAGGTTCAAAAAAGTCACGGCACTGTAAATAAAGGAAGCACCATCTTTTCACTTCTACAGTTCATAATCATTGCCTCCCAGAGGCCACAAACACCCCTGCATATGGTGTCCAGGGGACCGACACTCTGGGCTCACTGCTTCTTTCTGTGGCTCTGTTGTCAACCAATCCAGGGGAAATAGCTCCCACCTTTGGGGCTTTGATATTCCAGAACCAAGTACCTAGGATACCAATTCTAGTAAATGTTCTCTCATGACAGGCTCTAAGAAATGGGAGCAAGAAACCATCACCTACTACGTTGCCTTTTGGTGCTAAAAGCCTCAGCTGAGGTTTTGAGGAACTCTTCATTCCTCTCCAGGTTCAAGGCCTGACCCTACTGCCTTAAACTTCAACTTGACCACTCTCACCTGGAGCCTCTATTCTTCCTATTCTCAGTGCTGAGATCCCTACCTCCATATGTCCGTCCACCTGGCTTGCTCTTTCTAATTCTCCAGGCTCTTAACACATTACTGCTGTGTTCTTTATAACGCTATTTACTGTCTAAAACTCTTTTTCTGCTTGCTTACTGCTTACTTGCTTACTGCTGTCTCATCTCTCCTACCAGAAGCAGGATTTCATGGAAGCAGGGATTTCATCTGTCATACTCAGTGCTCTATCCCAAATACCCACACAAATCTTGGTACAGAGTTAAAGGAATTAGGTCACTATGGAACTCTGTCCTAGCCTAGACCCCTCAGATTGAGAGAGGCCCACAGCTGAGGATCACAATCTCTAGCCGAGCCTGTCCCGTCAGGCCTATTTCAGTGTCCAGCTTTGTATAGCCTTCACTCTAGACTAGCAGGTGTCTGGTTATTACGACTTGGGGGCCTGGTCTGGGCACGACTCTGAGTCCTGGGACAAAGCTCCTTTTTTGCCAGAAGGCTTCTTGGTCACTAGTCCATTGTCGTCCTTGATCTTTTTGAGTCGGGCCTTGCTCTTTGGCGGGCTGGAGAAGGTAAGGGAGTTCTTGTTGAACTCAAGGGGGAAGACGCCAACATCTCCATCAAAGCGGTTCTTGGACACCTGCAGATACCGTTTCCCTGGCCCAGTTACCAGCTTTCTGTCCTGCAGAATCAGAACGTTGTCGGCTTCCTGACTTGCCTAGAGGTTTGGGATAGAAAAAGACAGGCAGGTGTAAAAAGGCATATGAGAAATGGAAAAAAAAAAAAGAAAAGGCTGAAGGTGCAGGGAGGCATAGCAAGACTGGAAGAAGGGAAAAATATCCACCCATGCACCTCATCACCACAGTTCTTCCAATCCCTTGACAAGCAGCTTGTTGCTGTCTTGGACTTTGTACATGTTGTTCCTACTGGTCCTGACACTTCTCCCCAGCTGGCAAACCTGTCCTACCCTGGCTCCCTGTCACACAGGTCTCAGTCTAAATATCACATTTTATCTATGAGACTGTTCTCTACTGTAAATAAAGGTACCATCATTTCACTTCCACATTACAGGCAGCCCTTGGGTTACAAACATTCAACTGGTGGATAAGAGACTCAGGAGAGATTTATGTCTGATGCATGAGGCTGGATTATGATTATAGGAGGTTATGTATTGGGCCGTTAACTGAAGATTGACAGTTCAAACTGCTCTGTGAGAGATGAGGCAGTCTCTTCCCATTAAGATGTGGGTAACCTTGAAAACTGGATGGAGGGTCATCATGAGGTGCAATCAACTTGATGGCCCTGGATTTGGTTCTGGCAAGTCACATGAATTCACAGTGGCTATCATCTCTCCTCTCTCTCTGAACCCCTGGCTGTAGTGTTCTATAAATTGGCACTCACTTTTAAAAGGACTAAAGCAACTCCTAACTTTAACAAAATCATCATAATCACCTTTACTTGCTGCACATGCAGCTTTCAAATCATTGAAAAGGCAACAAGCTTTTTCTTGCACTAAAGTAAGGCTAAGTAAGATTATGCACGTAAGTGTACTACAAATTCTTAAAGACACCGTCAGGAATGAATCTCCATTATAAGCCAGAGACTGCCTGTATTCTCTGCCCTTGCTCCATCATAGCAGACAGTGTGTGCTCCTCACCCTATATTCCTTGTGCCTAGCCTAGCCCAGCCCTGACATGTAATAGGTATTCAATATACGTCTGGAACCTTCAGGATTGGGCTGATCCTACTGCCCAAAGGCCCTCCTCTTTATTTGATTAATCTATTATCTACTCAAACTCAACCCAACCTTTATTGACACATCTTCTGGTAGATCTCTTTAGATGTTCCAGGAAGACTCAGATCTTTTCTCTTTGCTTCTTAAAGATCTATGCTGCCAATCACAGCTTTTATCACACTGTGTTGTCTTGTTGCTTCCCTGAATAAAGGAGGCCAAGAGGGCAAAGGGCCAACCATTATCAGCCTCTGTATTCTTTTGTATATATCTTTCATGCCATAGCTCCAGAGGAAGATGCCTCCTGACTCCCCAAAAGGATGGTTAGGAAGAGGATTTAAGGCTGAGTAAGGGCTGTCTCTGGTCACATTTGCCCTCTCCATCCCCAAGAGCCTGGATTCCTTCAAAAGCCACTCACTTTGGCTGAGCCGAAAATGGATGCGGTCTGTAACTCCTTGTCATCATCTTCCTTCCGTGGGTGAATGACCAATGTCACATGACAGCTATTGTCTGTAGCAAACTTCCGGAAGGCCCCGACAACGTAGTCTTGAGCTGCAATCCTGCCCCCATTCAACAAAGTGGTTAATGGACAAAGACAGAAGGACAAGAACATATACTTAATCTTTATAGTCTTATCTCTCCACAAACCGTCCAATTTCACTTTCTCTCTCTCAAGGATTTAGACTCAGGTCTATACTTTCCGCTGTCACACCCCGCATCCTTATAAACTAAGATGCACATGGATGGTATGTGCCTGCACACATCTCAGAAAATGAGAGTCCAGTATATGTGCCTAGAGGTCAGCTGCCTGAGATGACATGTGTGTGTGTGAATGGGGTCCCAGTTTGACAGGAAGGGAATGTCACCTGTCTGTGGACAGCTGCTCGTGACCCATCATGAACTGCAGATTGTCGATCACCACGTGACAAATGTCATAGACATAGACTGCATGTTGCATAGTATCTATTACCGTCCTGGGAATAGGAAAAAGCAATAGATTAAAGAGTTTTACAAGTATTTTCCAAAGCCTCCCTGCAAAATAGTCAGCCTCCTAGAAACTATATTGGGAGCCAGTCCTCTTGCCCTCATTCTTAGAAAATTCTGGCTCTGTCTTGAAAACCTAGGAGTTCTCACTGGAGCTGAAAAAATAATCAAGGCCCTAAGTGCTGAGACTTGTCTGGGAAAGCAAAGTGTTTGGGGTTTTGGGGAACCTCACCTGATGCTTTGTTGCCCATGGAAAGTCATGAAATAGAGGGGAAGGTCTTCAAAGCGATCAGCCCATTCATCATATTTGTCCAGTTGTTCTTCCAGCCGGCCCACTGCGAACTGTGTCAGCATGACCCGAGCGAGTCTCACATTGCTGATCTCAAAGCTTCCCCATAATGTGTTCACCCCCTGGGTACACAAATCCAAGGCATACTCGCTGATGAATGTCGTCTTTCCACTACCTGTTGGTCCTGCAAGATCAAACACAAACCTCGGTGAGGGGGGACAAAGAATGGGGCAAGGAAGGGGTTCACAGCTGGGAGGGAGACCCTCTTCTTCAGCATCTACAGTTATCCAAATCCACATGCTTTGGCCACTTAATCCTCTGTCCTTTGGCCCAAACAGTAACTTCCCAGTTACCTGTGAAAACTGTCAGCTCTCCCTTCCGATGCCCCTTTAAGAGCCGATTGAGGTCTGGAAAGCGGCTCCAGCGGACACCAGCTACTTGCTCCACATTTGACAGTTCTCCGAGCACCTCCTCCCGAAGCTGCCGAAAGGACACGATAGACTTGTGCCAGGCAGGAAGGGCAGCCCGCAGGATACGAGAAAGATTTAAGCCATGGTTCAGGGCCTCCAGTGGGCGAGGCTGCTGGTCCCCAGGCCGCACCAAGGAGCATCGCTTTGGGTTCAGTTTTCGGGCAAACAACTTAGCAGCTTCCCAGGATCGAAGGTCATCCCCCAGCCAGAGCACAATACGTCTGAACTGCTCGAGGTAAGGCAGTAAGGCAGGAGGTAAGCAGGTGGTCCCCCGGGGTAGAGCAAGGGTGGGCAGCCCTAGGGACTGGCTCAAAGCTAGGCTGTCCAGTTCACGACCAGTCAGTACCACTTCAACATCTCTGCGGTTGATCAGTGGTAAGCCAAACAGATTGTGGTAAGCACCAGGTCGGGGAATGGTGTTCTCTACATAGTGCACACTCTCCCCCTGGCCTTCAGCCCTGATTAGCTTCAGTCCTCGTAATCCCAAACTTCCAGGGGAGAACCAAGGAAAGACAAGGCTGCGAGCAGGCCGCAGATACCGCACGTTGAAACGCTTGAGTGTGTCATCTGTCAACCTGGTGAGGCCAAACATCACACGAGCAAGCTGGGCTTCCTCTGCATCAGGCAGCTCCCAGAGGGGTACAGCTCGGTCCCAAATCCTCCGGACTTCCTCAACGTCTGCAGCTTCTGGAGTCTCACTAAGCAGGACCCCCTCCTTAGCTGTGTCCCCTCGGCCTTCCACGCTGGCTTGGAAGTCTTCCCAGCTCCCCTCGGCTAAGCTGGTCATGCAAAGAAAGCGGCCTGTAGTCTTGTCAATGAAGAGGCTGAAGGGCTTGGTAACACCAGTGCGGTCCCTCTGCTCTGAGGTCTCAGAAAAAGGACTGGGTGCCCGCAGGCAGCTGTGGCCATCCTGGAAGGGGATTCCATGGGTCCGCAGATACTGGCGGATTTCAGTCGTTGTTACTGGCAACAGTGGTACCTCCACGGCTGGAAGAGCTTCCTTCCTATACCGTCTGCGAGGAGGTCCTGGGGCCAAGCTTCGGGGACCACCCCTCCGACCCATCCATTTCCCACGTAGGGGCAGGAGGGTCCGGAAGGGGTATCCACCTCGGAGGAGGCCCCACATTCCTAGTCAAATGGAAGAGGCAGTCAGTCACTCTTTGAAATGCTTTCGGTGCCTGGTTTTGGTGCCTTTTGGCTACAGAGCTCACTGTAAGGGGGTTCCTTCCTCAAACTTTTCCTCCAACCACACCCTTTAGAGCCCCCTTCATTTCTCCTTCACAGCTGTGCCCACCATCTGTGAGCCTTGCACGAATGTTAAGTTGCAACAAGCTGATTCTGACTCCTGTCTTCCCGACGTGTGCTGAGCAGAACCCACTCCACAGGGTTTCAGGGCTGTGACCTTTCACAGGCAGACCACCAGGTCAATACTTCCTTGACTCCTCTGCGTGGGTCTCCACCCCCAAGCTTTCTGGCCCGCAGTCTGCGCGTAACTGTTCCATCCGCTCACTCTCCACCTCTGTCCTACATGTCCCTTTCCTCTAGGGTCCCTCACAGCTTCTATCACCTCCTCGATGTTGGATCCCTCTACACCACTCCTCAATTATGATTTCTACATCTCTTCTCCTTTACTATGCCTGCCCTGAGTCTCCTAGCTCTCATTTCTAACAATCAGCCTATAAAATCATCTCTTTTCTTTTTGGCAGCCCCTTTTCTCAATGCTCACAGTCAGAACCCACTTCGCCGTTCCTCCTGCTCAGTCGAAATCTCAACACGATTTGAGCGCCTCTCAATGGCCCTTGCCTAACTCTGAGCCTCCAAACGAACGTCCTGACTCCCATTCACCCCTCTACCCTCCCTAGGCTTTATTAGGAGGAGCTCCGCGGCTCCAGCCGCAACTCCAGTCACTGCACTGCTCTCGCTCTACAAATCCTCAACGTGGGTTAGGCGCACGCGCTTCCCCTTGACCTCGGAAGCAAAATTCCGCCCGGCGCCCCCGGAACCGGAAGTTCCCCGTCCGGGGCCCGTCTTCTGCCCCTTCTGCCCTGTGGTGCGGCGCCTGAGCTGTAGCCATGACTGCGCGTGGCACTGCTAGCCGCTTCCTGACCAGTGTCCTCCACAACGGCCTGGGTCGCTACGTGCAGCAGCTTCAGCGTCTCAGCTTTAACCTTAGCCGCGACTCGCCCTCATCCCGCGGCGCCAGGTGAGTGGGGGGCACTTCCGGACGGAGGTCGCCGGGGTGCAGAGCCATCGCGCTCACGCCTCTGATCCCTCAGGGAATTCATAGAACGGGAGGTGACCGACTTCGCCCGGCGGAACCCAGGGGTCGTCATCTACGTCAACGCGAAGCCGTGCAACGTTCCTAGAGTGGTGGCGGAATACCGTGAGTGCACCGGCGGGGGCAGTGGAGGGTGGACAGGATCGGGGGGCTCGGCCAGCCCACTAACGCGCAGTGTCCCCCGCGCACCCTCTTTCCGCTGCCAGTTAACGGGGCTGTGCGTGAGGAGAGCATCCACTGCAAGTCAGCCGAAGAGATCAGGGCGTTGGTGCAGAAGCTGGCGGCCCAGTCGGGCCTCGACGTGATCCGCATCCGCAAGCCCTTCCACACAGACAACCCTAGCATCCAGGGCCAGTGGCATCCCTTCACTAACAAAGCGGCAGTGCCCGGCGGGCTGCGCCCCCGAGAAGCCCAGGAGGTTGCCCGTGCCCAGGTGCAAGCGCCTTGACGAGCGGGGCCCCCCCCACGCATTCCAGCGGCGAGCCCTGGACTCTTCCCCCTGTTCCTTCCTCTTGTTTCCGAGGAGTCCATGGACAGACAGATGGAACTCCTTGGGAAGACTCAACAGCTCACAGCATTGGGAAGCTGATGCTAAAGCTTTTGCTTGGGATACAAAGTTGTCTGTTTTCAGTGCCCACTGCTAGGGACAGTGACTTTCGGGGCTCCTCATCCTTATTCAGTTGGCATCTCTGAAAATGTTAATATTTCAAGAGTTTTACAGGGCTCTCAAGAGGGCACTCTGATGGCCAAGTGGGTAACCTCCCCCCATGGATGGACGGTCAGCTGTGGGGTGGGTTCTGACTCCACTGCATAAAAATAACACAGGGCTCTTGAGCTCTGGTGGCCTAGTGGCAAGAAGCTGCACTGCAATCCCAGAGGTGCGCAGTTCGAATCCACCAGATGCTCTGTTGGAGAAGGAGGAACAATCTCCACCTGTACCAGTCAGATCTGATTTGGCGGTACACTCACACAATAAAATTTTAAAAATGGTAACACAGGGCTCTCATTTTCCTAGACTAAATTGGTAATGTTAGGTGACATCCAGTCAGATGGCTGATCCTCCAGGGGATTTGCAGAGGTAGTAAACAGCAGGAAAGGAAATGGCCCATCTTTCTCTTAAAGAGCAGCTGGTGGATTCGAACCAGTGCCTTTGGGTTGGCAGTGCAGCTCTACCCACCTGGGAACCAGAACTCCCTGAATTGAAAAGAATAATCTCAAAAGCCATTGAAGGCCCAAGCCTGACACCTTCTAAAGAATTAGGATGTCCCCGTGCTATAACCATTGTGCCAGAGTTAGCACCTTATTCTCAGTTATGAACCTGGCATTGAGCCAGGTACTTCATGTGTCAATGTGTGTATACTAATTTGAAAACTGAGGTGAATAAACTTATTTAAGGTCACATCTGAGGTCTTCAGAATGTGTACGTATCTTAAACATTTGCTTTATCTGTTTTTTTATTATTCTAAAACCAGAAGCAAATAAACAGCCCTTCAGGGTGGTTGGTATAAGAGGCCACATAATTAATTCAGGCCTGACCCCTGGAGGGAGTAAGTCTCAATCAAAGTCTCTGGTAGGAATTTTTGCACCGTCCAGTTGTTCTATCCCCAAGACAGACCCCTCTTTGTTAAGAAATGCATTCATGTCTTCATTTACGGTGGGTGAGGGTTTGAAAAGATTCTTGGGAAAGAACAGAAGGTCCTGAAATAAGGAACATCTTTTCAGTTTAGCTAAAAAGGGGCAGGGTAGTAAAAGAGAAGGTGGAAGTAAAAACCAAGACACCCTGATACGAATTCTTGAAGTGTTGTAATTCCCTTGTCACCATGATCAATGAATAGTAAATCCAGCTCCTCAGAAACCTGCATCCTGACAGCTGGGGAATGGACAGTGTAAGACCAAACAGACCACTCAGAGTTATGGGAAAGGGGGTATTTATTAACCAACGGGGAGGAGCTGAGCCCAGGCTCCCTACTCTGTCACATGCCTGTTCCACCCACCTGGGTGGTGAGTGGGGCATTCCTAAAGTACAGCCATTCTTACAATAACTACATTCATTGTGGGGTAGAGGTGGGAGAGGCTGGGTGAAGGGCAGTAAAAACCCGTGGGATTCCACGTTCTTGGCTACAAAAATAACAGTCATCCTCACCCAAGGGGACTGGGGAGCTCAGTCAGGATTTGATTGTCCCATATGGGCTTGGAGACCTCCGAGGCCCCTGGACCCTAAAAGTGCCCCGGTGAGGTAGGACAGGGGTGGGAGCCAAGCATCCAAACTCCCAGCCTCTACCCTTTGCATAGTTCCAAGAAAGGGCTTCATGTGCCAGGGGAGATGTCAGATCACTCCTCCCTTTCCCTGCGCTGGTCTGGGGGTAGCAAATGCTTGATCCTCGAAAGGGAGGCTGGCTCATTGAGTGCAGTGTTGGTCACCTGTCCTAGGGAAAGGTCTGTAAGGACAGTGAAACAGGAGGAGGACCTCCCTCTGATACGTCCACGAACCAAACCCAACAGACATGTCTGCAGCGGCAAGGGGAGGCTCAGAAGGGACATGAGTGGAAGTGTAAACACACTCGTACAGTGTGCGCTACCACGCGTGTGAGAAGTTACGTGCCTAGAGCTCTGTCTCTACCGCTCAAGAGTGACCCAGGGGAATCGGGAGGCTGACTCACGGGGATGCACAGCAAGGGTGAAGAGAGGAATGACGCAGTCTTCACTCCCCTGACTGGCTGTGCCCAGGCTCTTGCCAGAGAGGTCACTACATGGTGCTGGGGCTGGAGGACAAGATGAGATAGGATGGGATGGGAGGACACCCAGAGTCCAGAGAAAGAAACATGAGAATGCACCAGGAGGAGGCAGGGTGTAGGACACTGCAGCCCAGCAGATTGACATTCTTCCATGTGCGTATGTGAAAGGACACAGGGCTCTGGAGGCTGGCCAAGGTCTCGTCTGATTTCAGGACCATCCAGCACACTAGGCCATGCAGAGGGCGGTGAGACGTGAGGCCATCTGGACCTGCAGAGCCCTGCCTGGGAGAAAGGAAGTAAACAAGGCAGGGGGATGCTGTCTTCTCCCAAGAACTTGGGTTATGGGGCCAGGCATTGGGCTGGGTCTGCAGAACCCCTCGTAGGAGCACTTACCTCTGAGGAGCACCAGTGGGCCTGGGCTGCTCACACATGGGTCTGTGGAGACTGAGGAGGGGGCTTTGGCTGAGCCTGACTCTGGCCAGCCCTACAGGGACATCAAAAAGTTGGGAAGAGGATGTGGATTGGGGGGTACAAAGAAGGGAGGGGGGCCGCACTGGGGAGGCTGACGGGCTGGCGTGGCAGAGCTCTTGTCTTGGCACCGGCTCAGACTGAGCTCTCATCGAGCTGCTCCACGAGATGCGTGTGCTTCCTCTTTTCCAGGATGCGGCTGAGCTCCTCGGCAAAGGAACAGGGCCCCGGTGGCACTCCGTTGTCGTTCTGCCTCAGGAGCACGTAGCTGTTGCCGTTCATCCTGCGCAGCCGGCTGGGAAGTGCCACCAGCCCATTGGTCAGCTCGGCTGGAGGTGGCGGGGGTGGTGGAGGCGGTGGGGCTGGAGCCCCTTCCCCAGGGATGATCTGGAGGCAGCTGCCTTCCAGGCCCCCAGATCCTTCCCCATCGTCACCCTCATCTTCCTCTCCGGGACACTGGCCGGAGACAGTCTGCAGCTGCACAGCAGAGCCCCCTGTGCGGCCAGCACGGCCCAGGGAGTACTTCCGGTGGCGGCCTCGGCCTTTCCCCCGGAGACAGGCCACATAGAGGAGGGAGGAGGCCAGGATGAGGCAGAGGCCACCAAGTGCAGCAATGATCAGCACATAGAACAGCTTCACATCAGGCGCCAGTTGGGCCCCAGGCGTGGCGGGGGCCTGTGGAGCTGGGGCAGGAGTGGCCGGCCGGACTGTGAGGCTGTAGGAGGCCAGCAGAGTGCGGAGGCCGTTCTCCTCAGCATAGCAGCCATATTTGCCACTGTGCTCAGGCTGTGTGTCTGTCACCAGCAGCCCGTCCACGCCGATGCGGTAGCCATCCTGCCCATCACTCAGGCCCATGCTCTCGTTGAGCAGCCACAAGGCCCGGGCCAGGTTGGATGGCTGGTCACAGGGCAGGAGGACATCATCACCCCGGAGCACAGAGCGGGTCTTCAGTGGTGGTGGTGGCCCTGGGGCATGGTACAGAAAAAGAGGTCAGTGCCTGTCCATCCCAGACCTGATCATTTACTGCCCAATTCCCGCACAAGTCCAGGATCTGGACTCTCAGTGATAGTGCCACATGGTGCCCTGTGAGGTTCACAGTGACCCACTCAGGAAGCAGGTAGTGCCTTGGGCTTCTCTCTCCAGGCTCACTTCCTCTCCTGAGTTTCAATCCTGCTGTCTGCTAATGACTCACCACACTTTCCAGCATGGATTTCTCTATTTGGGCACTAGCTGTGAACATGTACCATGTGCATCTGTTTGCAGTCTGAGGCACCTCAGAGGAACTCAGGCCAAAGCATCCCTTTCACAGAACCCAGGGCCCTTTGTCCGTCATGGGGAATGGCACCACCGCCACTCATAAGTCATTAAGTCAGAATCCTGGGAATCACTCTTGCCTCCTCTTGGCCTTTCACCTTTGTATCCAACCTCACCATAGTTCTGCTTTGAGAAGCTATCTCAGACCTATTTGCTGCTTCTCCCTGCCAGCACCTCTCTGACCACATCTAGTCCAATGGCTGGGGGTTTAAAAACACAGATCTGATTGGAGTACATCCTTGCCTCAGAGGTTTCCTTTTGCTGTTCAGATAAAGACCAGAATCTTTGCGAGGCCTCGGCCTCCTGCTCCAGCCTCGTTACTTGATGTTCACAAACTTAACATTTCTCTGCTTGATGATTGCTCTGCTTGGGTGTCATTCCCTTACCCAAGCCCTTCACTGACCTCTTTAATAGCATAGCAGAATATAGTAAAAGCACAAACTCTGGAGTCAAACTGTTTGGTGTCAGGTTTGAATTCTGACCCTGCTTGCTTAATTGCTGATTAACGTGGGGCAGTTTGCTTCCCTATGTTACAGAGAGATTGTCCCTCATGAGGGTATTATGGCATTTCGTGTAGGGATGCTGAGAGAATAAGTGAGATCATGTTTGTAAGCATCTGACTGGTGTCTGGTACACAGCAAGCTCTCAACAATTGTGGTCTATGAAAATGAATATTTGCTCTTCTTCGTTATCCTGCTGAATGCTTATCAGTGTTATAATTACTCCTTTCATAATTAAAAGAAAAGAACAGTGAAAATAATTAAAATTGTCATGAATGTGTGAACATTAGACACTTCTCATCTTGGACTTATTTCTGCACTGCTAGGCAGCAGATGTTGGTTGAACACTTGGTATGTGCCAGATGCTACAGACACGAGTGAACCTGGGAGGCCTCTTTCTTGAAGCTTTTAGGTAACAAGACTATGTGTCCTCTGCTCACTATTCAAAAGACGGTCATCCTCAACGAAAGCCCGCAGCTCAGAGACATGAAAAGATCCATGTGCTACTGACCTGTGTCCCTGCTGCCCTCACAACCTCGGTTTCCTCTCTCCATGTCCTGTATCAGGCCTGTCCTGAAGACAAAGGATTGAAGTATATGAACATTGAGAATTTGATTTTAGTTTCCTAAGAAAACAGTTACCAGTGACAGGCCCCTGACCCCCTATGGCTGGCAGGGCCTCTTCCCCTTAAGCCCTGAACCCTGGCTCACCACTACCACCTCCCACGCTCTACTTTGATACCTGTTGGCTATCGTGGTGGTCTCCCTGCAGGCATGGGTTTTGGGGTCCCAGCCACAGTACGGGTCTCGGGCCAGAATGCAGTCATAGCAGGAGCGGTAGCGGGAGCAGCTGAACAGAGGTAGCTGAATGACACCACTAGGGGCCCCCACATAGAGGCTGTGCTGGGAGCCAGAGAAGACAGCTGGTTGGCAGGGCACCTACTTCTTTGCTTGCACACAGTCACTGCCCAGCCCACTCCCCACAAGTCAAGGGCTACCTGCATAGGAGAGATGACCAAATTCTCCACAGATTGGGGCTCCCTCAGCACTTGGGTCTCTTCGATGATGTGTATCCCAGAGCCCAGGACGACAGCCTTGTGGATCCAGCCATCAGCTGAGGCGGAAAGAGCAAAGGGTTGGATGAGACTCAGCAGCAGCGTAGTCACCGTAGCAAACCTAGTGGGAGCAGCCTGTGCATTGTGCACTCAGGCCACGAGGCTCACACGGTGAGCAGCAGCGGGCCCTCTGGCTGCTGGGAACTCCACGTTAGCCCTGGCAGCAGTTACTGGGTTTGGAAGTGTAAGTGATGAGGGTTAAATGTCATTTTGGTTGGTGATAGGAGTTAGCAGTCACCAAAGTCAGTGGCCACCAGGGGCCTGGATGAATGAATGGTCATTAAAGTAATGACATTGGTGGTCACCAGAGTTTTATGATACAGTGTCTCCTAAGATCTCTGGTGGCCCAGTGGTAAGAAGCTGTGCTGTAATCCCAAAGGCATGCAGTTCAAATCCATAGCTGCTCTGTGGGAGAAGGATGTGCAGTCCCCGGTGCAATTTACTGCCACTGAAAACCCTCTGGAGGATCAGCTATGGGTCAGTTCCAACTTGATAACATACAACAACAATAAGGAGCAAAGATCAGGAGTCACCAGAGGGCTCGGGCCAGGGGTCAAGAGCACCTGTGCTGAGAAAAAGCAGGTCGTAGGTGAGTCCAGCAGGCGTGGTGACTGGTGTCCCTGTGAGATGTGTGTAGCGCACATTGCGTTTAAGCAGCAAGGGCCGTCCACGTGTGGGCACCAGGGGCCGAGCCATTAGTGGGTGTAACTTCACAAAGTCCAGGACCAGGGAAGGCAGGTCCCGGGACGAGTTGTAGCCTCGGCTGCGCAGTGAGTCTGTGATGCACTGGGGGTGAGGACGAGGCTAGTGAACCTCGGGACTGCACTGCTTGCCTGTGCCCTCCCCATGAGGGTAGGCCCTGTCCCCGCCTTGGGCTCCGCCTGTTCAGCATTGGCTCCAGGTTCAGACACTCACCGAGCCAGGCCTGGGTTCAGGTACTCCCCCGTCATAGCGACTCCAGCGCCGGGATCCATCCTGGTATTCCATGTAGGGGCCTGTGAAGACGGCCTGCACCTCAGCCAGGTCATAGCGGCAGATGGCTGAGGCCTCCAGGGTCTTCCTAGGGGCAGGACATGGGGAGGGTTTGAGTCACACTGGGTGGAGCCTGCCCTCTCCGCTTGGCCCAGCCCCGCAACCACTGTCGCCCTGCCCTCACCACTTCCACTCCAGGACCTCTGAGCCACTGCTGGGGGTCAGCACGCCACTGCCTCTGGCCCCACATGAGCCGAGCTTGCCTCAGCTTTTGTCTTTGCAGCCAGCCCTCTCTGCAGCTGATCCTATCTCAACCTCACTGGCCCCTCTGCTTGAGCCCATTCACTGTCCCAAGTTCCTTATCTCCCCACTGTCCCTGCACTGACCACTGCGTGGTCAACGTGAAGGCTGCATAGAAGCGCGTGCGGGCTGACATGCCGGCGTCCAGGCTGCAGACACCACGCAGAGTCTCATATTGTGGGATATGGCAGATGAGACGTGCTTTCAAAAAGGACGTCCACTTCTTCTGCAGGATCTTCTTCCCTCCCAGGTCCCCCTGGGGAGGGAAAGGTGCAAGGTTACAAGGTTAGGGGCCAAGGTCCAGTCTCCAGCCTGGCCCTGGCCTTGGCTTTACCCACCTTGCAGACACGGGCCACCCGGGCCACGCGGTGGCTGTTGCGGCTCTGAGTGTAACTGCCGGAACCTTCCTCGGTGGCACGTTCGGTGAAGAAGTAGTAGACCTTGTCGTCATCGCCCACCGCACTGGCCTCGCTCTCCCGCACCAGGACAGAGAACACGAACTCAGCATCTGTGGGCAGGGCAGTTCAGGAGGCTTCTGGGAAGGACTGGGAACCCTCTCCAGCCCTCCCCCTCACTTGACA